TACCGGTTTGGGCGTAGGTCCATTGAACATTCCAAGCCACGTGCAAATTGAGGTCTTGCACTTGAGCTTCAGAAGCTTGGCAAGCCGACGGTGTGCATATATCTCAGCCGCGCGGATCGCACGGAAGGGACAGGAGAGGGAAGGTTTCATAGTACTCTTAACCAGACATCCATGCCATGAGAACCATGGAATGTTAAGGATGGTACCAGGGAACTTGTCGGGTTTTCCAAAACCCAGAAACCACCATTGTTCTCGATCACATAAAGTAGAAGACATACCTTGGCGCAATAACACTTAGCCGTCGTTGTTGTTGTGACCACTGCATTGTTGCAACATACTCAACTCTTTGCAGCGCAGGGCATTGGAAGGGCCAATGCCACAAAAAAGTGTTTACTGCGTTGTAGTCCATGGCAACTATAGTATTGCCAAGACTCACGGCTTACCATGAGGTTGGCCTCTCTGATATAGCGAAGACGCCTGCGTGGCAAACAAGAGGGGTTGACGCATGAATGTTGCATGTGACAATACATGGGAACAAACATGCATTTCTTCTATATGACACATGTATCTGTTCCGGATAGCGCCCCCAAAATGGAGCCCCAAAAAGATGGATCAAGCGCCCCCAAAACGGAGCCCCGAAAAGATGGATCAAAGTGTTTCAAGGTTCATTTGGTCCGGCCTGTGTCCCATTGGCTTTGTTTTGGTACGTCCGGAAGTGTGGCCTCGGATAACATGTTTTGTAGATAGCATCAATGGAGCAAAACAACACACATTTGTTCAATTGATGACTTGCTTCAGCGTGAGGCCAAGAAACGATTGATGGCCACCCACGAAGAGCAGGTGGGTCCCAAAAAGGCCAGACCACCCGCTGCCAACCGCATGGCAGAAACGAGGTGCCTCACAAAGCCTTGCGGAGATAAGATGTCCTCAGACGCAGGCGCCACGGTGCTTCGAAATAGAAGGGGCAGCTGTGCATTCCAAATCTAGTTTCATTTAGCAGTGCTGTTATGGCTCATCCTTTGGTGTTTTAAGGATGTCATGGGTGGCAACACGATATCCTTTGTTCGCAAAAGCATTCGTGATGGCAGCCTGACCCGCAAACATGTCAATACCATCGAGCTGGTAGTGTGGTTCAGTAAGGTCAGGGTATGCCTCGACACTTGTGAAGCAATATCACCATGCTTGAAAGATTTTGTGCACAGCATACAGTACATCACACCGTGTATGAGCCATGCAAGTTGCCAGTCCCAAGACCATCATAATGCGCAAAAGTCTGCAAGGAAGGCGACCTGGACGGTGTTCACCTTCTGGAAGAGATTTTGGGAACATCTTTTCCTTCACAGTGGTCCTTGGGCGACACAAGATGACAACAATAGAAAACACTGCATCACAGCACGATGTAATGTTACATGTAGCTGCATATGCTGGAAAAATTAATGATATCGAATGCAATTGCAACAAATACAGCCTAGTCTCCATGAAGGTGGCATGGTGCTTGGTCTTGACACCGTCCACAATGAACCAATGGTTCAGACTCTGAGTTCAGAATGGCTACAGTTGTCATTCTGAGACGGTCACGATACGCGACACTTGAAACGACATGAAACTGTCTATAGCAAGTAGCATTATATCTAATCTTGCAAAGCGAAATGTGCATAATGCAGGCAATGCAAAACATCGTGTTGAAACTGTAGCTTCAAATAGTGCAACGCCTGATAGCTGCAAAGCAAGATACGCGTACTGTATTCAATGCACTGCACGACATCATGCTGCAGGGGTTGTTTGTGTGTTTGTTCGTTAATGGCATGAACGTTTTCTCAATTGCGCTTCCCCCCGCAATCAACTACCTTGAGTAGGCCAGCCTCCAAAAGACAAGCGTTCCCAAAAGCTTTGCACACATTACTTGAAGTAGTTTGACTCTAGTCGCGAGGCAGCCATGGTGGAACTAAAGATCATGGCTCTAGCCCAACCAACACACCCACACGTTATTTTGCGCATGGGGAGGTCGGGGGCCATACCTTTGCAAATCAAACAAAATTCAGACCACGTGTCCAAAAAGATTAGCTAGCCTTCATTTGGGTCCACACCAAAATCCAAGTTGGCATCCTGATTTGCAAACCATCCAGGCTCCTCATCCATATCCACCTGGCGCCTGCGGGCATGGATCAGACCAAATGATGCCACGAGATCCGCTGGTACTCCACCATGTTGAGAAAAGGCGCGGCGTGCTTCCTTTGCACGCTCACGAACCTCTTCGATCGCACAACCAGAAGCCTTCAACCTCCGGTACACATTGGAGTACACATTGCCCGATTTCACCCAATTTGGTGGGTACACATATCCATGAGGAAGAGAAGTGCCATCCACGTCTGGTTCATAGTAAGGTTCATCAGCCACAGGCTGCTTCTCATCATTCTCTGTGGCATGATGATCATTGACATTGCCCTTGGACTTCTTCGATCTCCTCTGCTTGTTAGCTTTCGCGTGTCCAAAAACATGCACATATTCCGCTTCCAGGCAATGTTAAAACCAGGCACAGAAATTGACACATTGTACAATCGCATTGATTCGTTGCCCGGCATGTCTGGGTGCTCTTTGACCAATCCAAGCTGAGTTTTCCTCTGGATCATTCTGGTCACGGCGTCCTGTTTACCAGCTTCAAATTCTTTCCAAAAAAGTTCATGCATAACATAACGTCAACCACCATGTAGCTAGCAAAATATCAGCAAAAGAAGACGAAGACTAGTGCAGAGCAGTCCTTCATACTGTCAGCTGCTGGAGAAGGAGCTGCCAACTGATCAACCTGTTCCGTATTCCCATCCTTGGGCCCCATCACCAACTGAGAATCCAAAGTGGCCTCAACATAGTGAGCAGGAACTACTTCTGGGCTGCACGCCTTGGCTACAGAACCTTGTTTTGCAGCAAGAGCCCCAAAGATAGAAGTTCCACCAATGGTGATGACATCAGCCGCAAACATATCAACTTCACCATCATCAATCTCAGGTTCACTGTCACTGATGATTTCACAGGTGGTATTTGGATCTAGCATGGTTTCCCCTGCAGAAACTTCTAGACCAGCATGATCATTTCCAGAAACGGAAGGCGTGTAACTTGGACTTTGTGGCTGCGAATCTGTTTGAGCAGCCAACCAGCGAGCCTGTGAACCATCATCAACTGGGGCAACACCATCACACTCAGCCTGGTTGGCCGCAGGCTCATCCTTGACCACTTCCGCTGAGATCATGATACCTGAGCAATGTAACCGAGGATCCAACTGTCCGGACTGTATTTAAGGCTTTGAGAGTTCAATCAAAAAAAGAGTATGCACTTTCAATTGACAAGATACCAGCTGGATGGTGTACATATACAATATCTACAGCATCATCGTCATCAGCATCATCACCATCAGGAATCTCAATTACTATAGATTGCTGCTTCTTCTTCTTCTCAAAAGCGGTACATGTAGGCCTAGCTTTGCGAGCATTCTTGTGCATGACCTGCTTCAAGCGCTCAGCCACCTGATGGGAACATACACAATAGATGTGCATTAGCTAATGTCTTACCTATATATTGAGATACGCATACATTGTTGAGCCTCACCCTTGGTGCCACGATCCATCGCTTTCCGCCAATATTGTCTTGCATATGCCAGCAACGCATACAAGGAGTACGCCTCCCAATCAAGCAGATCCAAAAGGTCTTAACAGTCAATATGCATATAATTATGCGCGCGTATATAAAGAGCTTGCGTGCACCACACCAGCACATCATGTGGCATGCGCCTCATCAACGTACCACCGGTTCCGGTCTTTCTTGGTCTTACGTTTGGAAAGGCAATATTCCGATTCTGTGTCCAGCTTTTCAAACACAGAGGCCAGAAAGGAGATAGAATGCTCACCTGCAGAACACATGACGTGCCCGTGCCAAGGGTAACTTTTTTTGCCAATTCACAGCATGAGACATTGAGCAACCATATTGAAAAAAAAACAAGTACCTTCCGGTGAAAGCTCATACATTTTCACCACAAGCTCCAGATATTTCTCCAAATCGGTTTTCTTCACATTCCGTGTATCTCCGATCTTGCCAAATAGTGTGTGTTGGTCTTCTCCTTCAGCGCATTCTAGAAAGGCACAGCTGGGAAGGTGAACCTTTATGATACCTTGGCTAAGAAAGGTCTTATATATATACACACACACACTTGTCACATGTCCTGCATAACTGCAACCTGACAAACACGTGCAGGTGTACTATGTGCGGCCAAAGGTGCCCAAAGCTTCGTCTTCTTTGCCAACAAGCAGAGACATTGCCGACAACTAGCAAGGCGCGCACGCGTTTGCACAAAATGGGCTTCAAGACACGGAAGCAGCGAGTTGTCCAAATGCAGTGGTCGAGCAGAGAACTTTCCACAGGACATGGGTGTGAAAAATGCATGTGACATCGCATCCGTGATATGATCAGCACATATCAGCACAGCTGTGCAATGTTGCAATCAGTTCACTCCTCTTATGAAGACATCTCATGTGTCCCACCATCTCAAATCCAGCACACCTCGATGGTGCAGCTGCCCCCGAGGCATCTTGCAGAATGGCCAGCATCAGCCATGGACAACCGTGCAGCGAACATAGTTGAAAAAAGATGAGTGTGTACTGGCATGGTTGGTGGCAAAGGTTTGGGTTGAGAAAACATGTGTTTACATGATCACCATTATCTCACCCATGGTGGATCATAGTGATACCATGATGCACGAGCAAGGCTGCTCTTTTGATCCAGGAGCCGGTACGTCCCGGTACGTCGGGTATTCGACATGACATCCCATGGGGTGTCCTGACACCATCGATCACCCCCGCCCTCTGCAATGCACATCCCTGGACTGTGCATTGGACACACCCTCGACCCTCTGGGTTTTCTATCTATTTGGGGACCCCAATATCTTCTTTTTCCAAACATCCCATGGAACGGAGCCACTCGCACTCCCTTCTTCGGCCGAGGTCCGACTGCACCTGCTTGAGGCTCATCGAGGCCGTCATGGTCCTGCGCCCGCGTCGCGGGATAACATTTCTTTTTCATCTCTCTAACTCTTGGTCCACAGCCTATGGGATTTTACTATACATTTCTTATATCTATCTCTTATATTATTGCTGCTAATAATTATAGCAGCTCATATATTTATATTCTTTTAATGGGGTGTTCATGGAATCCGGTTAGGCGGGGCACGGTTCCTTCCAAACCCCTCAATAGTGGGTCCCCCAAATAGACCGTGGCACGGTTTCCAGTGGCACGGTTTCCAAGACATTTTGAGTGGCTTTCCAATTTGCATTCTATCTATGTGGGGGTCTATATATTATTTTTGTTGGATTTCACCACGGTGGATGGTTTGACTTCGGGACTGTTCACGGGATTTGACGGTTTTCATGCCGGTGGCATGAGAAGCATGAACTTCAGAAGCTGGCTTCGGAGGCCGGATGAACATGTGCCAACATGTGCCTTTCACGTGTAAGTTCGGAACGGAGAACGGAGAAGGCCCAGCTGACCTCGAAGTGTGTTCGACCAAAACATGTGAAAAACACCTCAAGACTGGACATGACTTTCTGTGCGCTCGACGTGAATCGCTTTTGGGACTGACACCGCTGTCTGCGCACAGCTCTGCGCCCATCCAAACGTCTGCAGCTCCTCCTTTTCTTGGGCCCGGCCACACGGTCGTCTCCGCGCGATTCGCTTCGGCGGCTGCGGGGTGGCGTTCGTTTTGGAGCGGTGCGAGCGGTGCTGCTGGTGCTCGACATTGATGCAGGTGCACAGCGAAAAGAGCCGTTCGATCAAGGTTGGAATGCCATGAATTTCGGATTGTTTGGAAGTACATTGTCCCTAGAAGTCGAACCACCATTGTTTTAATAGCCTGAATCCCGAACCACCATTGTTTTACTTAAGGGTTTTACACTACAAAACCAGCTCAACCACTTAAAAAATGGTCGACTTGACTTCCAGGGTTGTTTTTCTGTGAAAGACACCAGTCTCCGTTGCTTCGAATCAGTTCTGGCGCACTCATGCCGCAGCCACCCACATCCCATCCGCTGATGTGCAGATCTCACTGGTCGTCTTCGTCTTCATCTCCAATTCATCAGGAATCTCCAAGACCCACCTGACCCAGATCATCTGGAGAATCTCCAAACACCTTCTGACAGATTTCACCCTGCACCGATCCTCTCCCTTCATAACTTTTCTTTTCCCACCATTTTTCTCCGCACGTTTCTTGCGCAGCTGACATGGTGCCAGCCGGATCCGTCGGTGGCCTCTCTGGCCTCTCTCTCAGCCGGTCGGAAAATCGGCGAACTTGGAGAGATTTTCGCTGAGATTTGCGCGGTGCAAAATTCTTCGTGTCAGAACTTGTGTCAATGTCATGTCAGTCCGTTTGATTCCTTTCTTAAGTGACAAAGCCACTATAGAGTGCGCCCCCTACTCTTGAGTTGTGCTGATGGAGCAACAAAATAAGGCACTCTAGAGTGGAAACGCAACGAGCCGAACGAGTGTGACTTTGGGCTCAGTTACCCGAAATAGTGATACAAACGGGGTAGATCTTTGGAAGGGCAGAGCAGGACAGTCCAAGAACGTTAGACTAACAAACACGGTTGTGTACCACTTAACAAGGACAACGACGTGCTTGGGTACAAGACTGTGTAGCATGGCTTACTGTGACAGGCAATCCTCACGTTCATTCATTGCCCCAAACATCTACACAAGTACCTTTCCGATTAAGGGCTTGTTGATGGTCCATACCCAATCAACTGAAGACCACAACCGGTATGACCATGAATCAATCATCGCTACTAGTAGCAAGGAGCTACTAGTAACAAGGCATTCATTACTACTAGTAGCAAATAGCTAACAAGGGCATTTCAACTAGTAGTTAGAATGCTACTAGTAGCTCCTGGCCTTGCTACTAGTAGCAAATAGCTACCATAGTCATTCTAGCCAAACAGGACGTTTGCATCATGTGGATTTGGCACCCCGTTGTTGCCGCAAGCGCGCCGAACGCGCGCGACAAGGCAGTGCATGAGCAGCCAAACTCACGCATGAGCAGCCAAACTCACGCTTGGGCCTCAAGTGGCTCAAGTGGAATGAAAGGCCGGTGAAGAAACCCTTTCACAAGCTTACCTCAAGCATGCAAAAGGTTGTCATTGGAAACCTATCTTAGCCAATTGACCAACGTCTCACGCAGGCTAGGAATCAAAGCCAGCACAAACCGCAGGACTGGGCGCAAGGGCATCGCTACTAGAACCAAAGGGCATTACTACTAGTAGCATTCTTGCTACAGCTACTAGTATGAAGAAGCTACTACCCAAACGCTCCTGACCCCTCATATGCAGGGGTCGGACCCTCATATGGAGGGGTCTGGACCCGAACCAATCCCTATGGTTTTGAGGGACCAGTCGGGCTGTGAACGGAGCGTCTGGGTAGTTCAGGATCCACCTGATCTAAAAATCCTCCCACGTCTTGCCATCCAGTGATGCCACACCGGAGACGCGAAGCCATCCCAGGTCCCCACAGCGTGCAGACCCATCCGCGGGCCGACGTGTGCACACCGCGCGGTCACATGATGCCTGGAGACATCTGATGAATCTAAACTTGGAAGATCTACTGTCTCCGTTTTTCAGGTTGGTGTAATATCAACATCCCCAACATTCCCCAACCTCCCTAGATGAGACAAATGGATGGCAGGATGTGGTCCACCCTTTTTACAACTGCCCCTATCGCCGAAACACGTCTTGCCTTGCAGATCCAACATGCACAGCCACCGCCCAGCCGCTTCCCTTCCGTCGCGCCGCTTCACCGAAGCCGTCGAGTCGCACCGGGTCGCAGTCGCCGAGTCGATCTGGGCTGCCGGGCTCCGGGAGTGGACTTGGAGAGCGTCATCTCTTCCTCGAGACGGTGGCGCCGTCTCCATCCGGCAGGTGAAGTCCGCACTGGGTTGGTAGACTGGTCCGGCCTTGAGGGAGATCAGGAACGGTGGTCTCCCTATTTCTGTGGGTGGTCTCGATACTCACATCCCCCCCCAGCCGATGTCCTTCTTCGCGGCGTTCTCGGCGGCGTGTCGGGTTCGATCCATCGACTCGGCCGACCGGCGGACAGTCGGCCTGTGCCTTTTGCTTGCTGTGATGACCCAGCGCTACCAGGCAAAAAGTGTGTACAATCGCAGTGAATCAGAACAGAATCATGGGAATCATGGGGAATACATGGCAATGGCACTGGCAATGGCTTTTGAAGCAGGGTTCCCTGCAAAAAGTCTCAAATCCTTTGATCGGGAGATCTGCCTATTCTATTACACACCCAATGATACTAACACCTGAAATCATCCTTGCCCAAGGGTTGAGCCAGGATGAAGCCTCCTGGGCTGTTGTCTAGTCTCCGGGGGTACAGCTTCTTCTCTTAGCCACATGTGCTTTCACTCCATGTCCAGCCGGTGTTTCACCTGGTGAACAACTGGCTCGGCTCCACCTCGTTCATCTCCGAGTCGATGTCACCGAAGAGAGGCGTGGACAAGTAGCGCCTCGGCTGGGACAAATCACCGGTGCATGGAAGAAGCGATTTCGCAACCGGGCAAAAAGACTATATCCTCCAGGTGAGGGGCTTTCACTAGCTCGGCGAAGTACTGAAATCAACTGATCCTCAAGACCAGGAGTACATGTCTGAGAAAGCCTCGTCTGAAAGGTGACGCTGCTGGACACCTTCTCCGAGGACATCTTTGTGCGTAGACCTCTGTGAAACGTTGTTGAATGTCAAAGGTGGACAACGTGTTTTTCACACACCTATTACACCTATTTACTACGCTTCACAAAAGGCGATTCAACCTGACCCCGACTTGCATCTTTTGCCAACAATTCGATAGTGGAACCCATGCGTTGAAGCTTGAAATCCCAGAAAGCCCGGGACTTGCTGTCCAGGAAACCAAGAAGAACATAGAACATCTTCCCCGCAATTCAGGCAAATTCCTGCCATTTCGAGAAGAAATGCATCATCCTGACTCATCCCAAAACTTGCCCAGGCCCCGGTCCGCTATCGCGCAGTGGCGCACCGTTCGACGCACCGGTGGACCGGTGGACCGTTCCGACCGGACCGGTCGACTCGGGTCCACGAAGAGGTCAACCCACGCAAACCGCCTCACTCACCTCAAAAAATCGGTCACCTCCCAGGTCGTTCGTCTATTTCATCGATTGGGCACCCAACACCGCTTTCCGCCGCACCTACCAGTTGAGGGCCGTGAGGCTCGGCGGTGTCGGGCACCATGGCGACGATGGTGGAGCCTTCGGGCCTCGCAGACGGAGATGCGGAGCAGGTCGCAGGTCGCAGGACTGGGTCGGTCGCTGGGATGGACGGTAGGGAAGATGATCTCCCTGGGAGTCCAGTCGACTATCAAAAGAATGGTCAAAATAAGGGGAACTGATTTCGGACACTTCCCTGTTCTCCAGCCGGTCCAAATATAGTCGAACTGGACTTCTAGATCTTCTAGGGGATCTTGTTCTTTCTTGTTGGCGATCGATCGGTTCACCTCTGACGAAAGGCACCCGTGAAAGAGGCTGGTGGGCCCCAGGAACCACCGTCAAGTTCACCTGTGACGTTCACAGAGCTGTTCTATCCCGGCCAAACACGAGGTTTTCTTATGAGAACTGGGGTAAGAGATACTTAAAGTCAACTCTTCACCCACAGGGTTCTTAACCAGTCACCTCTTCACCCTGTGCCACAGGGTTCTTAACCTATAACCTGCACACCATGTCTTGAGTGTCCTCATCATGTCAAGCTCCAAAGGTCCGAGATCCCCTCCACAGATTCCGCATCAGACCTGCATCCACCATGGCATCACCATACCTCGTGTCCTTTCAACCGGCGAATGGTTCTTTTTTTTCCCTCTGCTCCAGCTTCCAACCACCCAAGATGGCCCAAGACGCACAAGCTGAGACGCTCCGAACACCTGAGCCCCTTCGTTTCGTTTCAACACGAACCTTCACCAAAGGATCGTTTTTCTCCAGTCGATCCGCCCAACCCCCAACAAAAACACCTCACCGCCCGGTGCGAACACCGGTGCGAAGGCACACCGAGCCGGACGAACCGCCGCTCCAAGGGGCGCTTTCTGGGCCACCTCGAAACGCGGGAACGAGCGGATCCGGTCTGGGTCGGAGGTCAGGGTGTGACACCCACAGCGGATGGGACGAGCCACACCACCCTCTCCATGTGACGGAATGCAGATCTGAAGTCGTCTCAGCCATTTTTACAGGTTTTTTTCCCACAGTGATCACGAAGATGAGTCATTCTACAGTAGGCGTCCACAGATTCCTTTTTGCGCGTCATTTGTCCCGACGACGTACACCGGGTGGTCTGGGAGCCAGGCTTCTCAGCTGTTGAACCAAACAAAAGCCCTTCAAGTCAGTCGATGATGATCCCCCCGACTTAGAGTCCTTTTGCTCAACTACTTCAAAACCTTTCGTTCCAACTCGCTGATGTCCACACAGCACGCTCCGCCCCCCCAGCACGGACCGAACCTCCAGCGCCGTGGCCACCGTGGCGCCGCCGCTGGTGCCGGTGAAGATGCCCTCGTACCTGGCCATCAAAACAGACGGGAGGGACAGCGGTTCGGCTGAGGACCGGAGGGTTGGGGGGAATCCTTTTTGCTTTCTTTTGTGGGAAAAAGTGACATATGGTGATGGTGATTCCACGGGCTGGGAACATGGGGGTCGTTGGTTCTTCTGGATCGTTTTTTGAAGAAAAGAAGTTTTTGAAGCTTCTGGCAGGTTTGACCTGGAAGAAGGGAGAAGCTATACTTCTTGTGTGTTCATTTTTTGGGGCTGCAGTGTGTCCCATCGATCGTGTTTCTCATGAACGTTGTCAAATGGGTGGAACAAGATATGACATACGGAGGACCACATGTTTTGAGGCCAAGAACACCACGTTGGCCATACTTGGCACCTATCAAATCAGGTCTCAAATGGGTTCTAGGAGGGGTTTCTGGGTCATTCCTTGTGCCCAAGAAGATCATTCGTTCCTTCGTGCCGTCGTTCCTTCCAGCTTCTGTCTCTCCCACGTGAAGAGAACAGCCCGCCACTCCCACTCCCAGTCGACAGCACTGAAGCGATATGCAAAGACTCAAACGAACAAGTCGCAAGAGCAACCTATATATTTAGAAACTCTTTGATGAGGAATGCAGTGTGAAGTAGAAGACGCACGTTTTCAAAGAAACACCACCAACCTCGAGCCCTGAGGGGGGAAAGGACACGGCGAAAGCAGCACGCAGGCGGGGTACAGTTCCGCGCTCCAGTTCCGCCGGTCTATTTGTCCTCAACAACGAGGTGAGGTGTACTTGACCAGTGCCATGTGGCCATGTGGGGCATCCTTCGCTCCCCCCCAGTTGCCACTTTTGCGGTTCTCTTTCGGTCTCGTAAGTGAGCAGCCGAAAGACTTTTGGGCCATCCGCAAATTCACATGGACCCTGACACCACTGGTTTCTTGAAACCACAGGTTTTCCCTCGACAAACACCATGGGATCGTCGGCGTATCTATTGGACACCGCTGCGATCTGGGACACCGTGGTTCGTGTTTTTTTGCTTACTCAGCTCGAGTTAGGCCATGGAAACAAAGGTCAGATCTTGTGGTCTCCGGGCAGAATCCAAGGTAGAAAAGGGTAGACGTGGTGTGGGACTTTCTCGTACCAACGTTGTGAGCACTTAAACGTTTGCTTCTTAAAAATGGAGAAGAAATCAAAGAAGTTACAAACATCAAACGTCACACCTTGGTCACACTTTGGACATTGGCTTTCGTCAGGAACTTGGTGACAGATCAACAAATCTGTCCTGTAACTGACGATGTCTGAATCCATCTTGCGAGATAAATCATTTTCAAGATGGACATAGACATAGACAGTTGCTTCGGCAAACCCCAGTTCATGGAGGAATGACCTAAGTCATGAGGGTGTTGTGGATGATCAAAGTCCTGATCTGAAACCATTCAAAGTGCGTTTCCACCCCAAAACTGACAATCCAACGCCACAAACCACGCGCCGTTTCACCAAGCCTGGCGAGGTCCATGGCAGTCTTCATGGCCTCAAACTGGCCGCCACACACACAGGTTCACCACGGCACCCCAGGCCCGGAGGGCAGTTAAGAGGTTGAGGCTGTGACTCCGCAGATCGGTCCATGTGAATCCACCTCTACCAGTAGTATGTCATCTATATAGCGCCTACCCACACAGATCTCCCCAAGCGAACCCACACAGATCTCCGCATGTGAAACGCGACCAGTTTCGCTCCACCTCGAAAAGCAAACAGAACTGTGTGCAATGCTTTTGGTCACTGTCATGAGTCATGAGGGTCCAAAAAATCCCCAAACACATGACCTGCCCCATCGTAACCGATGAATTGGCTGTGGTTTGTACGTCAAGCGCGTTGAAAAAACAATCAATAGGCCTCTCTCAACAGGTTCTGCAAGGGTTCAAACATCAAACATGAAACCAAGGACTCCTGGTAACACAAGCCAACATTTAACAATAATTGGAGTCTTCAATATATATTACTGTGTATAATATCATGGTATATCATGGTATATCCTATTGCCAGCAACAGTGGATGATGATTGTTAGGTTCCAGGCCTTTCTCTAAAAGAGCGATGGATAATGGATGATAATTGTTTACCGACTGACAAACCTGCAACGATCTGAACGTACCAACGAAGAAGCACGACGAATGCGACTTCCACAAAACTCCTGAAGCTCAAACGAAATAGCTGAAACCCTCCTGAACTCCTGAAGCTACAAACCTGAACTCCTGAATTGAGAGTGTTTCGCTCACTGAACTCCTCGTCAGTTCCGTGAAATCTGAGGATGCCAGGCATCCTGTGGATCCACCAGTAGGATCTCATCGGCCAAGTTCATGTTGATGCCATCCTGGCGGAAGGTTTTGGACCCTGGTAAAGCTGGTGAAAAAAAATGTGGCTGGAAGCAGTCCAAGAGTTTTGAGGGGATGGTTTTGGACCCTTAAGTAGGTTGGAGGCCATCGCTTGACTTGGCTCAGAACAGGCAAGATCTTTTAACATAAGCCGCCTGTGCCTCTGCCTCCTGATGTGTAGAGGTTGTAAGAGAGGATCTATTCCGCAAAACCGGATGTCTGTTTCCCCTTCAACGCGAAAAAGCGTGAGGTGCAGGCCCCACCCTTCGCAAGGCGGGCCACAACCCATTCTCATGTGGGCGTGCATTTGGAAACTTCCTGGCCCTGGCTGGGTAGACTGGTCTATTTCCCGAACCGAAACCCAGGGGGTCGAACCGCCTCAAAAAGGCCTCCCAGGAACATCCTGAGCTACACAGCCATGTGCCCCAAGGCATTCAACAAACGTGGTCAAACGGAACATCTTTATATCCCTTTCACACGGTCAAACGTGGTTAAAACCATGTTATACCCTGGACAACCTTGTCGAGGGCCACTTGACCTAAGACGCGGTTGGACGGACTCGGTTGTTCCTACCTCCCTGCAGTTGTGAACGTTGAAAGGTCACTTCACCCAAAGACTTGCGTTCCCAGCCGAAACTTCGGTTCAAAACGCTACGCGCAGCAAATCCATTCTTCCTCTCCCAAACTCTGGAGCCGCTTGCAACCGGAAAGAAACCGCGCGCGCAGAACAACCCCGATCTCGCTGGATCGTGCCTCGGTGACTTTGGGGATGAAGTTGGGTGTCCATCCTCGCTGCGTTTGTCCAATGGGGCGTGCCGATGCCGCCCCCGATTTTCCGCGACAAGAAACATCGAAAGGGCGGTTGACTTCGTGAATCGAAGTAGACGATCTGTGTCCATCGATCTGCGGGTGGTGGAAAAAATGACAGGTATAATTTGGGTGGTGCAGAGGCAACATCTTACGCATCTTAGCAGGTGGAATAGGTGAAGAGTTGGTCACAGAGCTTTGGTGGGCCATCCGAGCTCCGACCCGAATATCACTCATTGGCCAGTAGAGAAGTGAGAAGAGATCGCGGTCTTGCGCTACTTAACGAGGATGAGTTTTTTGTCGGGGCCAGCTACTGCGCGACTGCATTGCTTAGCCCAATCGTGAGCACGGAGGTTTCCATCCAGCCGGCAGGACGAATAGGATACAAGCCGGTGCAAAAGCGCCAGGAGCAAGGACGCTGCAAGCAGCTACTAGGACCAAGTTTCGCCTTCACCTCTAGAGCAAGTTGTCTGACATGTCCACAACACCGCGCAAAGCCACAGGATGCCACAGGCTTTGCACCGCGAGAAACTGGTCCTTCGCATCGCTAGCTTTCAAGAGCTAAGCGCACGCGCTCCCAACACATTTAGCACCTTCATCTTTCAGTACATGTCCTGGCAGGATCCGAGAACCGTGCAAGCAGCTGCTGGTGACGTCTGACGATTGAGCAGGACATGAGCAGCGCTGGGCGAGTCCTGGCCAAGACCATGTTCACGCCCACGAGAGCCTAGCTCGCTCGCTCGCTCGCACCAAGCGAATCGATTCTTGAGAAGTGGCCTGTTGTTCTTCGGAGTCCACCAAGGGTCATGCTTATGCACCTTCTTGTTTCGACAGACGACGCAGCGAGGTCATGCGAGGTGGAGCGACACATCACGGACGCCCACGAACCGGTTCAGCGGTCCGGTGAACGAACGAACGATGGCGGTGAACGAACGAACGCGCGGTGCGGCCGTGTGCTCGGCGATGTCGGTCCATCCGGTTCGCATTTGAAAGAGTTTGGTGAAATGCTAACCTGTCCCCTGCAACGCTGTGTTTTCAGTGTCCATCAAGACACAACCGCCAAAGATCAAAGGGTTTGGCAGCCAATCTGATTCTGATTGGCAAGTAATGATCGGGAATGGACAGGTTGTCCCAGGACTGAAAAAGACTTGAGAGAGGAGGGGGTGAACGAAAGGAGGCAATCACAAGTAATTCTGGTAGAAGGAGAACTCAGGTAGCCTGAGGCTACCTGAGTTCTCCTTGTAAAACGACCCCTTCACCAGGTCTGCATCCAATGACCGACCCTCTTCACCATCCCGTCCGGTCTAGCCTTGGATGGGATGGGCGGACCATGCCTCGGGACCGGCGTCGTTCACGGGAGCGTCTGGGTGGGAACCAGGTGGAACCACTGTGGACCCAACGAACACAGAGTCGGCAGACGCGGCAGAGGACGAATGGTTCCAAACAGGGTTGCATTCGACTTGCAGGACTTGCAGGACTTGTTTGTTCGATTTCCTTTGCACAGTTGGTGGGCTAGAGGCATCTTTGGCTTGGCACGCTTGCATCCCAAAATGCGGCCTTTACACCAATCTTCGCAAACGATTGAGGCATTTTTCACCCCAGAAAGCGGATCGAACATGAAAACAACAACAATTGTCACACCGCCCAAAGAGTTTGTGTTCTTAGGGGCTACCTGAACCAGGTTCTGGGACACCCAGGAACCTTTTCTTTTGACCGGTCTTGTAAACACCTGCCTCAGTTCTTCGCAGAGTCTGCCGGACGCCAAACCCCACCGGCACCAGACGTCCGGGCGACCGGACGGGATGCCCCTTGGCCGGAGCGCCTGAGGGCGTCAGACGCACCGCCGTGGCACACAGGTGGCAGACGCACCAAGTCTCCGGGCAAAAGGGATTGAGCAAACATGCTGACAAGCATGCATTTTTGGGGGGAATTCTCGACTAATTTGATCAAGCCTAACCCTGTGTGCACATGTTCAAACCCAGCGATGAGGCTTCTTGGAGAAAATCATGAAACATCTACCATCCCGCCACTTCAAAACCCACGAGAATCGAGCATCTACTGCATTGCTCGTCTGAACCGATGTTTCTCACTCAGCTGCCGAACCTGACCCTGGCACCAACCAAACCTGTCCGCCGAACGTGTAAACTCAAAGAAGGACACACGTTGCATGGGGGCAGAAAGGCTATGGGAACTGGTACGACTGCATGTTGGTTTTTCAGACTCGTACGACTCGTAGGGACTTTTCGGGACTGTTCACCACCCCAGATCCCTGTACTGATCCATTCCCATCTTCCCATCTTCACCAGTCAGTTGAAAGCCCATCGTGCCCCTGTGGCTTTTGCTCCGATTGAACACCACATTGGGGGAACGCCCGTTCCGTTCGTTTTCACGGTCCGTTCGTGTGGACCGCGTGGCACCGGACGTCCGAAGAACCGAAAAGGGAGACGACGGACACCGACGCGACCCGTACGGACTGCCTTCAAAAGGGCCAGGGGTGGTGGTGCTTTGGGAAGTTAATGGATGGAGCATATGCCAGTCCGGAGTGTATGGGACATGAAATCCTGTTTGAACATGAGGAACACCCCACTCAAAGATCCCTGTGCATGACGTCCAGCAGAATGGCGCCACCCCTACCTTCGTGACCGGTTGCCCGGGGTGTTGGGACACACAAATCGTAGCAACATCGGGATCAGGGAATGCCACAGAATCACACCAAACCACCAACCAAACCACCAACAACATCTTCAGCCACCTGTCCTACACACTACCCCTCCTTTAACACTCCCACACACCAGCACCACCCACTTCGGGTGGTTTATAGACTTATAGACAACTTTCCTTGACGAAGAGCAGTTTTTCAAGGGTTTTCCACTTCCACATGAGTGAGATGTCCATCCAATCACCGCCCAATAACTCGGGTGGTGCTTAAAGAAAACACTCACATTCTCACCAGGCTCCAGACCAAACTTCCCCAGCACTTCCTTTCGCTCCTGCCAAGCACTTCTAGTAACAGGTGCATTGCTACTACGTAGTAACAAGGGCATCGCGGCATCGCTACTAGTAGTAATGCCCTTGTTACTATTAGCAACCGGAACGACAGCGAGCGAACGACCAACGTGGTGCTTCTGGTCTGCAAACAGGCGAAACATGAAGAAACCATGACATGGGGTGTGTATGAAAGTCCAAAGAAACACCTACACCTCCCAGGCGTCTCGTCCGGGTTCGGTTCAGACATGTTGGAGGGGACGAGCACGGACCGTCCCAAGCCGGAGCCTGGAACGGACGGAGAAAGGTGGGGTCCATGGGTCCATGGTGCACGAGCTCAGAACATGTCCACAGTGCTTCCGAGACCAGGAAGAGAGGCCCACAATGTCTACTAATCTACGAAGTATGTCTTATCCTGACATGGACATGCGTGCGGAACGTCTACCTGTGTGAGGAAGGCGAATAAGGGTGTGGTCAAACTGTGCACATCATGGGCAACCCAAAACCAGAAAGATTTGCGGCCCACCTAGACCCTATTTTCGTTTCTGGTCTTGACTTGTTGTTTTCGCTCTTGTGGCTGCCCACCAAACCTGATGAGAGACAAACACTCAGCGCCGTAGTCTGGCTGTCTGGCTCAGGCATGTAGACTCTTGATGATATTTCACCCACCATATGAAGAGGATTTTCCAACTCCAATGGGGTAGCTTGTGGTAGGTATATTAATCAATGGTCTACACCTTACCCTGTCCCTTCTCAGAAGGTCCGAACCCGGCAGTTCTGCCGGGTCCTGCGGACTCTGATCTCGCTTCTGCCCGGCTTTCACCCTTCCAAAACCCTCAGACCAATGAAGAAGGTTCAGACTTGAGAAGGCACGACCAGGGTAATGTAGACTCTTGATGATATTTCACCCCCAGTTTAAAAAGGACTTTCAAATGGGAGGGTTTATTCATCAAGAGTCTACAATTACCTGTTCACGTTCCATTTAAGACTCTCTTTTCAGAACTCATCGGGCGGCCCTTTCTTCGGAAACATCACCCTCCCGGCCGTCCTGCTTGATGCCACTGGTCAAGAGTGCGGCGCCCTGATGCGTGGCCGGTGTCTGAGACCAGTGTCTTGGCCGGGGCAAAACAACGCGGCGAATCGATGGTGATTCAGGGGTCACTCCGACTCAACATGGAAAATGGCCACTGGGATGACCATTTTCCTCTACAAACAGGTGGCGAACTCCACTTCCATGTGATGTGTTCGTCAGAGGGTAGATGACATCTGAATTTGAGCTCTTGCATTGTCTTAGACTCGATGGGTCCAGATAAACCCCCGAACTTGGGGGGTCCTTGTGCCATTTACTCTCGTGCCAGCACCCTGTGGCTTTCACCTGCACCCGATGAGCGCCGCGACTGGTGCCCATGAACCGATGGCACGACTGGTGACCGGGTGATGGCTCCCGACTTCCGACGGGCTTTCAGTGGACTTCTGGGAGCTTTCTGGGAACCACCGGATCGTCAGTTGAAACGAACAGCACACGCACGCTCGCGACTCGCAGCACACCAGATGCTCAACCTGAGGAGCGCCCCCTTCGCAAACCGGACACCAAAGGAGTAGCCAATGCGTTGAAACGAAGAAACTCCCAGTGATGATGTCCCGTAATGGAACATCGTAGAGCCAGTGCTAGGTACCATGTAGTACATCCATGTACCTGTTGGTTGTACCTGTTGGGGGGTCTCCCCTCTATTTATCAATCCTCGGTCCACCGGACCCAAACGTGATCGACGGCATCATGGATGTCACACGTGACGGCAGAAGGACAGAACGATAGGACTGCCGCCCCATGGACCCCCCTAGCACCCCTGGCCGTTTGGAAGGCGGACTGGCAGTCCCATGGAGTGTTGGAACGAATGTCTTGTCATGTCAAGAGCGCTTTTTTTGTATGTTCGTAAGAACGCTCCACTTGATCTCTAAAGCGAACATGTTCCACGAACTCAACATGAGGGTTATCCCAAGCAAGTTCGTTCCTGATCATTAGCTGCTTCCTCTTGGCTCCTTTTGAATAACAATCAATAGCAACATTTGTAAAACCATTTTTTGACAATTGATGGTTAATGTTCCATATTTATTGGTACATATCTACATGTACTAAAGCAAAGGCATGGGTCAAACATCTCTTGTAAATCCACAGGTAAGAGGAAGCAAAGACCAGCTCCATATTGAGTGAATGCCCCAAACATGGAGCTGTGCCCAACTTGATGAGTCAAACAAAACCCCCAGCATCCAACATATAAACGCACACTTCTTGCCACCCCCCAAACAAGAAAAACACCAACCACGCAACCAACCGCGCACCGCACGGCGTGGACCGGAGGACGGTCGAGTTCGACCTGTCGGGACGTCGGGACGTCGCCCGGTAGCCACCCTGTGGTAGCCAAGAAACATCCCGATTTTGCCGTATACACTTCACTTCCTACAACAGGGGATGTGGTAGTGGAAGTGGTACAAGTAGTGGAAGTCGTGGTAGCCATGCAATTCTTGATTTTTCCTCCCGACTTCCACTTCCACTTCATGCTAATGTTCTTTTTTTTGGGGGGCCACGTCCTCTATTTCTCATTCGGGCCTCCACGCATGAAGTCACAGCCTGTGGCTTCCACTTCCTTTCTCTCTGTCCATCCAAAAGCGCTCCTCACATCATCAGTGCTCCGAGCCTCGTCCCCTACCGCCTCCTTCGTCCCTCGGAGTACCGGTGCCGACCGAGCCCTTCGTCCCCTTTCGGCGCGCGCCTTGGGCTCTGAGAGGATGATCTTGATGTCCGGCCGCGCCTCGTTGAAGACGGAGCCGTGACCGGGGGGTGCTCCCCTTTTTAGTAAAAACAGCAGCTGAATATCATTGGCCTAAGTCAACAGCAGGTGATTTTTTGCAGGATATTCCTTTGTAAGCAAGTGAAGGAATTCTGCCAGTCAATTGACCTCCGAAAATCTGGTTTCCTGCTTGCTGACAGAGACGTTTTCGTAAGTCCATGCATGTCCATGTATGTCTGGTGCGCCGTGGCACAGTTTTTTTCCACCAGGACAGTCGTACTGCAAAACTTGCAGAACAGCCGCGTTGCTGATGTGGAACCCCCCGTGGTGTGTCGATGGGATTCCCAAACGTTCCCAAAGATGGTGACGGTCACCATCCAACGATGTGACTTGCGGTCCAAATTCCACCAACTCTTCTTTGTGCAGAAATGATACCAGCGGAGTACCTGAGTTGGGGACGACCTGTTTCTTGTGGAAAACCCTTTTATAGTAATTACGTATCTTTTGAATATGAATACTGTGTACTGGGCAAGTGAGGAGATTGGCCAGGCAACATACTACCCTTTGAGGCACGGAAAGCTAGCTATGCTCGGCACTGGTAAGGAACATTGGATGATCTATGCAGGGATGAAGGAGCACTGAAGAGCCTGGAGTTGGGCCTAGCTTGGCGAACTTGGCGACGAAGACTCCCAGTTTTGACTTCTCCCAAAACCTCACCTGCTTGAACCCAACGCGCGTGGTTCTGCTGCCGAGCTCTTTTCCTGCCACACAGACCCCGCGCAGCTCACGCGCGCAGCTCATTCCTCGGCTCTTCGGAGTGGGCTGGCAGTCCAAACACCGATGTCTCACTGAAAGATATGGAAAGACACAAATGCATATCCCAAACACTCCATGTATGCCATACATGCCTACATTGAGCCCCAAAACTACCCCAACTGATCGGTAAATATAGCATACTCCAGGAGTGTCTGGCTATCCAAATGTCACTGTTACACATTTGTCTGAATCGATTTCTTTCACCCAAACCGTCCTGATGTCCGGTGAACAGTTAAGGCCTTGATTTACATACACCACTAGTGTATCTACTGGCCGACATGGAACAATGAAGCTCCTGAAGACCATGTTTAAACCATTTTCTATATGTTGGGTCTATCCCCAAATACCAGATTTCAGTGGATGATGATGGTTAGGGTTCCAGGCCTTTCTGTGAAATAGTGACAACTGTTTACTGACTGTTACAGGTAATAGGATAGACCCAACCTATATGTCTGTTTCGCTGTTCATGTCGATATTGACCAAAAAGTACTGGGGTGACACACCTGGGCAATGTTTCAACATCACACTGCCAATCAGGACAACCGGCTCTGTTTCTGTTTCTGTCCTAAAAGCGGGACGAAAATTGGTTGGATATCTGAAATGTCTGCAAGTGAAAGACAGAACTTCTGTGCGTTGTGTCTATCTGCTTCTTGGATATATGGCCAAGGCTTGTTTTGCTGGTGCTTTCATCACTGTTCAATTTCAATACGTCCACATCGTCCGACTTGACCAGGCGATCAAAGACCCTGTGGTCAAAAGACTCAAAAGCCAAACGCATCCACAAAATTCAGGCGTACTTATACTTCTCCTATCTATAGCTCAAGTCATAGTGGAGCATCTCACTCCATTTCTTGTCCTGCTTCACTAGCTTTGAGAGATCTCTAGGATTGAAGATCGAACATCATCAAACGAACACAACCGAACACAACTCTAGAATAAAATCATCAACCCTGGAATCAACCCTTCACACATCTTCTCACTGTCTCACTTTTTCTTCGCTGAAAAGACTGGCGCTGAAGAGCAATGTGAGTACCATTTCCACAGCGAATGGCTCCATCCCGCCATGGCTCGGCGCCAGGAGATCTGCCAGGTCGGCACCGTTGCTGTCCAGTAACATGTGCCCTGCCAGCGAGACCAGTTCATCTGGGGGGCGACCGGGGCGTCTGTGCACGTTTCAGGAGTCAGATGGGACGTGAACCGTTTGGGCGACCGGCACGCGGGACGACAAGGGGTTTCCACTGGGGTTTCCGCCGTGTCCGCCATCGGGCTGAATCCAACGAAAGGTGCCTGGTTGGTGTTGCTCCGGATCTTCCACCAGTGGAGGTTCCATTTTGTTCGTCCTCTTCACGCAAAATGGGTTGAATCTGAGATTCTCCCCACATGGGATTACAAGGGATGAGGTTGATATATGGGTTTGTATTTTTTTAAGGTTCCCGGGCCGGGATGTTTGACTATGGGGTATGCTTCGGAGGTATGCTTCGGGGGTATGCTTCGGGGTATGCTTCGCGCAGTGTGAAGACTAAAGTAGTAGCATTTCCAGAGGGTATGCTTCAGGGTATGCTTCGGGGGTATGCTTCGGGGTATGCTTCGCCTAAGTCGAACATCCCAGTCCTACATAAACTGGACACCTTAAAAAAAGACAAGCTCATATGTTGATGAAGAACCGGAGCATCTAAGAGAAGGGGTTGAGTTTGGAATGGAATCCTTTTAGCATTCTAAAGAGGATTCTATAAACGGTAGTTATATATGGGATTCTGCGACAGTTGGCATTGCAATCTGTCCCCTTAGCCAACTCCATTGCCAATCTAACATCCCCTATGTGCCCCCCTGATTGTCAAGTTCATCTGGGTTTCTCTCATGAACATCAGGTCATCATTTCAGCAGCAGTGATGTGGGCGAAAGACCCAGTTCTCCATGGTGAACAACCATATTGACATATTGAATACAACTACCCTGGAGATCCGTGGAGACGCACACGTGACTCGACCGAAGAGGCCTGACGATCGACGATCGAATCATGAATCGGTTGGCCTGGAGAGGAGACCTCCCGCCTGGATACCGTGATACTCAACAAACTTGTGTGCCAAAGCAAATCCGAAAATCGAAGACTAGAACCTTGTGTGAACATCTGCGCAAATCAAGAAGAGACTGGCTTGATTCCTTCATTGATTCTTACCAGTTGTTTCCACCCAACTTTCAAGCTACCCCTGGCCACCGCCACCTTCCCCTCCGCCTCCCACGGGAAGCGCCCGCAGCTGGGCGCTTTGGCCCAGCGCTTGGGCGCGCTGACGCGCGTCGCGCAGCTCCGCCAGCTGCTGAGTGTAGGGCTCTGCGGTGAGTGGAAAAGTGCCTGCAGGTCTATGACAAGGACACCATGCGAGTTGACCAGAACGATTTTCGGATGAAACGCGGATAACACCAGTGGTGTAGGGGGGGAGCAGCATTTAAGGGATGAGCCTGGGCATTTGGAGATCCCAAACGCATCCCAAGACCCCCCATTGCATGCTGAACCATGGTTTTCCCCCACTCCATCTATCTCCATCTTACCTAACGCTTCCTGTCGGGGTGCCCTGTCTGGAGACCTGTTTACGTAGTGTGGAGATATCCAGCCAGGTGACCCTGAACGGAAGCAACTGGTAGTGATCAACTAACCCACATCCGGAATCAGTCGCTCCCTCGCAGCGCGACCACGTGGTGTCGCGTCCGGGGGCCGAGGAGAAGAGTCTGGACGGCGTGGTGCGGAACAGTCGTCGTCGTGAGTGTCGCGAGCTTCCCATTAGCTCAAGCCCCCTCGATGATTTCCCCATTGTTTGCGAACGAGCCAAACCCAGCGGAGCTTCGCCCCGGCTCCGGAAGCACGAGCCGCTGTTCGGTCCGATTTGTCTCCGGTTTCCGGTGGCCAGGAGACCCCAGTGAATCGCCAAGGCTGCCTGGGACTTCAGGTCCTGGAGGAAAGCGAGGCGGAAGGGAAGCGGCGGCCGAACGAGGCGAAGGTCAGGATCAATGAGCTGAAATGGAAGATGGACAACAAGCACAAGATCACTGGAGACATCTTCCAACCGGAATTTTTGTAACTGGATCTTCGCAAAAAACTAATTCCTAGAGCATCTCTGTTGTAGTACTAAGCTTCCACATTTTACCGCTTACACTTGCGTGCACTTTCTGGTCTACACATCCAGCCGCCCCACGAAGGACGAGACCCGGAGGAAGTTCAGGAAGTTCTGCCAGGAGCAGTTCCGAGTTCCATGATCAGCAGGTGCAAACGATGAAAGACTCAGAATGACTCAGAGTTTCCCCCCCTCTTCCCACCGAAATCCTTTCACGGCAAAGGCCAAGGCCTTTGGGGTTTTAGACCCTTCTGATTCCGGGTGCTCTGGGGATCTGAGGATCGGTCGACATGCTCTGAGGATCGGAGGACTTGTTTCTCCTCCACAATCTGCACAGCTTCATAGGGGTCGCAATGGGAGGGCGACATGAACCATCTGGGATGGTAGGCGCCTGCAGAACCGGCTTTGGACTTTCAGAATGTTTGAGAGTTTATGGAACTCAATCCGAAAGCCTGTCGCGGAGGTCCTTCTTTGCTTGGTGGGGGGTCAGCCTGAAAATCAGGGAGTGAACGAAGCATTCCATTTTATATCTCTCTCTCCCTCCCTCCCTCCCTCTCTCTCTCTCTCTTTGTGGGTCTTATGGCCTTTGAGACCTTTGGGGCCTTTGGCGGTTTCAATATGCATGCTACTTCGCAATCCAGCTGCGTCATACAGCAGCTGATAGCACTTGGTCAAAGGGGCATGTTCACTGGGATGCGACACAAGTTTCTGATTTCGATTCCAAATTGTAGCGCCAGCAGACTTGAGTCAATGCTCCCTGGAAGTCATCTTGGTTGTGGTTTCCAACTGAAAGGAAGGGGTACAAAGCTGGTTTTCAAAATAGAAACAAAACGGTTTTGTTTCCTTGTGCTCATCAATCACGCAGCAGCACCTGATTGACAGTACAGCGACAGAAATCAACCTTCACCTCCCTAGTTGTTGAACGCATATATATATATATATAATCGAACAGTGAATCCTGCTCCAACATACCTTCTTGTGCCTACCCGAAAATCGTGCCACCTCCCAATCCTGTTCAACACCTCCACCCGTCCGCCTATGGGCACGGCGGCCAGTTGGATGCGAAACAGAGACCCCAGAAGTCGGAAGACGGGACAATAGCCGGTATCGCCCAGGAAGCACAAGGGCATGTCGCGCACCTGCGGAGCGCGCAGGAAGGTTCGGCACCTTTGTTCTTCGTGGTGTTTCGGCACCTGCAGCTCTGCTTCCACGTCTTTTCTTTGGGTTTCGCGGGGTGACGGGTTGGCCAGGGTAGAACGGATACATGCTATGCGCATGATGTAGGGGGTTGAATGAAGATTGAGACAAATTCGGTTTGAGAATCTAGTGGTGACTAGATACAGTGGACGGATCTGTTCAGAAGGGCTTCCATCCCAGAATAGTGCTAGATCTGTCCCAGGGCGGCGAGCGTCCCAGGCGGACAAAACTGCTTCATAACTGTTCCATATATATATATATATATGATATATCTATATGCATGTCGGTATATATCCCTAGGGCTCCAAGTACAAGGTATGACAAGACCCTCTAGACCCTCCCCAAGCATCCCCAGTCCCATCTTCAAAACGGAGGTAAGGGTATTGGAGCCCTAGGGTATATATATAACTGATTATAGCTGTTTCACACTCGAACCAAAAACCGGTGAACACTGAACTGTGAACATCCATTTGATTTGGGGTTGAAGAATGTCGACCCTCGAAGTGGCTTTTTAGGGTGTGTTTTGGGGTAGAAAACATGTGGAGGACAAAGACGACATGATGAAAGCTAGCGGCTGGAATGTCACAGATAGCGAGAATGTCAATGTAATACCCGATGATTGCCTCTTGATTGAATTGTAGCTAATTCTGATATGCTTCATCTTGCATTCTTTTGATCTGCCGACTCCCTTGAGTAAACGTCACGCGACTCCCGTTGTCGACTCCCGACTTGCTGGCAAGGCTCCGCCGCTTCATGAGGTGCACCATGGACTAGTCCATAGCCTTGCGGAAAGCTGAGATCTTGTCAGAAGGGGTCCTGATTGAGGAGAAAGAAACAGGCCGTGTCCACCGGAGGTGGCCTTTTCTAGAAATCATCAAACTTGAAAACATGAAACAAAACAAACCAACAAAGCACAAGCAAAACAAAGAGCAACCAAGAAAGCAAAAAAAAGTGCAACCAAAAAAACACAAGCAAAACAAAGAGCAACCAAGAAAGCAAACAACACAAAAACACATGCAACCAAAAAAGAACAAGCAAAACACAGAGGGTAGTTTGGGAGGGCCAGGTAGGGTTAGTACTGGACAAGGGTCTTTTCTGGTGCCGGGTCAACTTTCGCACTTGTGGTCGCTCTTTTTTCCGGCACCGGGTCAGAAGTCGCACTTTTGGTTTCTTGTTGTTTCAATTTTTTCCGGTGCCGGGTAAAATGTCGCACTTTTGGTCGTTTTTTTCGTTTTTTTTTTTTTTTCCGCTCTATTTTTGCGTTTTTGTCCAAAAACATTCGCAAAAAAAGAGCGAACAAAAAGCGAAAAACAAGCGACCAAAAGTGCGACCTTTTACCTGGCGCCGGAAACAAAAAGAGGAAAACAGCGACCAAAAGTGCGCCAGAAAGTGGACCCTCCCTCAAAAGCGCGCCAGAAAGCGCGCCAGAAAGCCCGGCTGAGTTGCTCCATTTTTGCTTGCAGTTTTGTTTGCTTGATTTTTGGTTTTATGATTGCTTTTGTTTTTCTGGGTGCAAGTTGTGATTGTTTTTTCTTTTTGTTGCATGTTTCTTGCTTTTGTGTTTTTTCCCGAATGCGTAGCGAAGGGTTCTCGTTTAACTCTTGGGGGCCTGGGGGTAGAGCCTTGTTCGCGACCCGTTGCTTCTATGTTCGCAACCGTCCGCAACCGTTCGCAACCGTTCGCAACCGTCCGCAGTAGGACGCTAAGGCGCTGTCATTGGGGGAAGCTTTTGCAAGTGACTTTTCATGGATGTGTCACGTGTCAGTGTGCGCCGCTATTCCATTGTGATTTGCATGAAAAGGAGATGTGGCGCAAGAAACGTGATGCGTTCCGCTGCACAGGCGCAGCGTTTTGTGAGATCGGCAGATTGCTCCGCAGTTCCATTGGGATTAGCGTTTGGAGAGTCGTGTTTTTGGGGTGTTGGATGTGGCCGTGCCATTGGGATTTGCGTTGCAGGGTGTGGCATCGAAGCTCTGTTTTCGTGACAAGTCTCAGCTGAAATGCCGATTTTGGTGGATGGGAGTGTGCCCAGAACGGGTCGAAATCATTGCAAACGTGTGGTGTGGTGCAAATTTTGTTGAAGCTCACATGAGATGATATTGTCACTTTTCGTGGCAGGCACAGTACTTGGTGTGGCTTTTGAGGTGTGGAAGTGCGATTCTCGTGGCAGGCGCAGGGAATCGTGAGGTTGCGAGGTGTGACGGAGGTGACATTTCGTGGCAGGCGCAGTACTTTGTGCGCCTTAGACGTGTGGACGCGGAAAGATTCGTGGCAGGCGCAGGGAATCGGGAGGTTGTGAGTTGTGGTAGAGGTGAATGTCGCTGTCACATTGGGATTGGCGTGTGAGCGGGTGTCGTTTGGAGGGGCTGGAATCGCGAAACTGCTTGGCAGGGCTGCGTGATGTGTGTGTCCGACGGGTGTTTCCGCTGGACTTTTGGAGGAAGTCTCGTGCGAAACGTTCCTTTTTGCAGACTTTGACATGTGAGTTTTTGAGGAAGTCTCGTACGAAACGCTCGTTTTGGGGACTTGAAATGTGACTTTTGGAGGAAGTCTCGTACGAAACGCTCGTTTTGGAGACTTGACGTGTGACTTTTGGAGTGACTCTCGTACGAAACGCTCGTTTTTGAGACTTGACGCGTGACTTTTGGAGGAAGTCTCGTACGAAACGCTCGTCTTGCAGCCTCGCAGCGTGACTTTTGGAGGAAGTCTCGTACGAAGAGTGTGCCCTACAGGAGTGTCCCACAAGAGTGTCCTACAAGAGTGTCCCACAAGAGTGTCCTACAAGAGTATCCCACAAGAGTGTCCTACAAGTGTCCCACAAGAGTGTCCCACAAGAGTGTCCCGCATGTCCCAAAAGAGTGTCCTACAAGAGTGTCCCGCAAGAGTGTCCCGTATGAGTGTCCCACAAGAGTGTCCCACAAGAGTGTCCCACAAGTGTGTCCCACAAGAGTGTCCGACAAGAGTGTCCCATAAGAGTGACCCACAAGAGTGTCCTACAAGAGTGTGCAACAAGAGTGTCCCGTAAGAGTGTCCCACAAGAGTGTCCTACAAGAGTGTGCCACAAGAGTGTCCTACAAGAGTGTCCCTGTCGCACAAGAGTGTCCCACAAGAGTGTCCTATAAGAGTGTCCCACAAGAGTGTCCCACGAGAGGTGCCCTACAAGAGTATCCCACAAGAGTGTCCTACAAGAGTGTCCCACAAGAGTGTCCCGT